GTGGTTGCAAGGGTCAATTATAATCATTTTTGGTCAATACACATACCCTCGAAATCCTACGCACTTTCGAGAAAAAAATTCCCAACCGAAAATCTAATGTCTGACCATACATTGACATGTTTCACTGAAATTTCATGGGTATCTTTAAACTATCATAACTTCTGAACGGATTGAAGGATTTTCATTTTTGAAAAGGCAAACGACGCGTATTTTGGCGAAGAATATGTAGAAATTCCAAAAGTATGCGAAAAATTGTTCCTTAACCCCGTAAACCGAGAAAAACCCCCATAACAATGGCTCAATTTTCAAACAGCCATAACTTCTGCAATAATGAATATATTTAAATGAAACTTTTTTCTGAAGTAGATCTCATGGGTACCTACAAAAGAGTATTAGACAACTTTCCTATAGGGCGTCAAATAAAATTACTAAAAATCACTAAATAAAATTACTAAAAAGGGTAGGTGTCTTTCGACGAAAAAAAAATTCCAAATCGTTCTGGAAAAATTGTTTCCGGTTGTAGTGGTCAATTACAACCATTTTTGGTCAATAGGCACACCCACGAAATCCTACTCAGTTTCGAGAAAAAAATTCGTTATTAAAAATATGTCTGACCAGGAATATTCTACTTCGAAAAAAAATTTCAAATTATTCTGAAAAAATTATTTCTTGTTACGAGGGTCAATTAAAATCATTTTTGGCGAATACACATACACCCGAAATCCTACGTACGTTCGAGAAAAAAATTCTTTACCGAAAATATACTGTGTGGCCGGAAATGTTTCTATAACTTTTTAACAAAGCCTCAATCAATATTAGTATCCTCGATTTTCGTCTTATTTTGGCCTCTAGAATCTCTCATTAAAATGTTTCCCAAAGGTAGACGAGCACCCTGTATAAGTAAATGTACGTCAGAAATTTCGAAAACTGAAGGGACTGAATTTCCATCTGTGTACTAAATAATCTATCTGTATAAGTTACGCCTGTCTCTTATCGTTTTAACCTAAACGTTGCAGCGAACTAGCAACAAGAATTGTAGATGGAATTTTGGGGGTTGTAATTTCAAAGCTTGACCATCAAGAACGGGATTATTCGAGCCATCACTCGCCAATTTGATATTGGGTGATTAATTCAATTACCGGTAGCGGATCCGTTGTGATAAACGTGCGATTGAAGTTAGATTGTCTCGAATGTTCCACGTTGTATTGACAGTAAACGTATTGCAAAGTCAATATATACTACATGTAAACGTAACCTAATGACTTTGAGTATACAATGAAAAATTCAACAACCGAGTAAAATAAAATGAGAAAAGATATGGCGCGATATTTTAATTTACATGTTATGATTTATTTATTTTGCTGCCATCGTCCGTGTCTATCTGTTGCAGTCACTAAAAGTCTTTTTTTAAGGGGAGCCTCTTAAAAAGTTTGGAGACCACTGGTTCGAGTAGAGATTACCAGCAGGGTTACGAACCCTCCAGCGACCTTGACGAGCCAATTTATTCCGCCTCGATGTTAACGAAATCTTCAAGCTCGCGCGCCGCCATTAAACCGACTGGCATTGAAAAGGGACGAAGAAGCTGCGTCGTTGCGGAATCGGAAAACGCGTAAACATGCTCGCGATCGCGCGGCGTGCACTGATTAACTCTAGAAGCGTTCCTTTGATGTCTGCGCGGTGTACTCGAGGAAATTAGAAACACTCGAGGAATTTACGCGAAAGCCAGCCTCGCAACGTGTACACACGCGAGTATCGCTCCTCGGCGCGCGCGCGAAAACGTTTCGTGACAACGAAGCCGATGCGCTGGTTCGAGCGTGCAGCTCGCAAGGATCAAACGCGAGACGGTTAATGACGTCGACGGGGAGAAACTTTCCCTGCGAGCTGCATACCGCGCGGGCGGAAATTCACGCGGATTGAAGGCCGTCGCGGGACGAGCAAGGCGAGCCCGAAACGTTTCAGTATACCTGGAACCCCGTATTACTGACTTCGAGTCTAACGCGACGATCTTCAAAGGATGACTTTACAGGCTCGCACGCTAAAACGCAACATCACCAAAACCTTGAAATATAAAATCATTAAATGTGGCTTTTATACTTTAGCACAGATTCGATCAACTATTTTAATGTAGTATTGATTCGATAAACTTCTTGGTGCTCTTCACGATTCTAAAAAGATGATAGATTTAATATATAGCTAGTATATGCTTATTCTAGATTCAATATCTAGTGATAGTATAATCCTAAATTATGTGTATGTCTTATGCGGTTATCCGGAATGTCCGATTAACATTTATTCTTTTGTTTTCCCGTTTTGCTCGAAATACATGTACAAAATTTATACCGTGCGTGTCTTGTAACATAAGATACACTCCTTCAAAGTGGAACGAAATGTTAAAAAAATCACGCATTAAATTGTAAGGGGATCCTTGTAAGAAGGTTTTAATCTTCGACTTTACGACGGTTTTAATGGGTCATTATTGGTCACTCGATTGTCAACAATGGTTATGGTCATCGATGGTCACCAATAAGGTTGACATCAAAGTCAGCGATTCAGTGGAGATCCATGAATGGCCAAGAAGTAAAATAATTCTTCTATAGACGAAACAATTTTGATCATGAAACATGTGATCAACACTATAATTGATCCCGAAGATCTAATCGCCTTCTCTTGGTAGCTCGATTCAGGGAAAATGGTATTTCGCTGGAAGGTGTGTAAATGCACACGTTCCAGTGAAAGTCATCCTTGTCTCAGGTACTCTCTCTGTGTCAGACATCCTAAGACGTGTCCTTCGGGACTTCAAGGACAGTCGATTCGATTCAAAGATCCGCTGCATGGTTCAGCATCGCGTCGCGTTACCCTCGACTTAGCTTCATCCCCTTCAACCAAATAATTGCTTGGTACAACTAAACTAGAAGATCAAAAGAACTTTGCTTCTTTCTACCTCTCTAGTTTAGTAATCTAATTTCTAAGAATGTGAAAGGGAGATCGATGGGACTTGGATTCCATCTATCTCCTTTCGGGTCTCGATCTACTCTAGAAAAGTTCTTTTTCGTGGGTAACACCGAGTTAATGGCGGAGAATTTAGAATTGTTTCCTAAAAGACTAGAGAAGATTGTATTCTGAAACTTGTTATGAAATTTCAGAGTACATAGAACATTGTCTGTATTAAGTACACTAAAAACTCTGCACATTTCCATACTAGTGGGCTCTCCTTGTTAAACGTACCAGTTTCTAGTTATCTACGAATGGAAAAAAGATTCCGTAATCCGAAATTCTATGTCGTGGAAAATGTTCTTGATAGAATCTACGTGCTCCGCATGGACTTCCGCTGGAAAGGCCATACATGAAACGCAATATCAGCCATTTCTGTAGAACCGTGCATACGTGACCATTTTCCTGCTTCCAGAACCACGCTAAACTCTCGAGCTACGAATTTATATTATTAACAAATCCTACGATCCATGATACTGTTTCTAAACATCAATTAACACGTTCGCTTCGTCGCAAATAACGTGGATTTACTTATTCCATAGGGTTATCCAAATTGAGTGTCACGTCTTTCAACTGATTGGACTGCTAAACGGTTTGATTGTTCTTTATTATATTTCACACGTCATGGAACGCTACACTGTGCAACAACGCGTGCAAATTGTTGAAAATTATTATAAATATTCAGGTTCTGTTCGAGCTTGATTTTCGACGCCTGATTTCTCGAGGGGGCATCAACTGGCCCCAAGATCATGCGATCTGACTCGGTTAGACCTTTTCCTAGGGGGTTTCTTAGAAAGTAGAGTTTATGTCAATGAACCACAAACAATTGACGAGCTAAAAAACAATATTATAGCCGCTATTAATGAAATAGAATCCCACTAACTGTTGAACATTCTGATATATATGCGTTTTCTTGTACCTACAAGTACGTTGAATCAAATTTTGTGAAAGTACTTACTGTATTGTTCGCTTTCTGTTATTATAGGGTAATTAAATCTAATAACATTTTTTGTTTTCATGACAACCCATTAATAGGATACCAGTAAAATGATAAAACGAGAAGCGGTATTTGATAATTTTTTTACCGCATAAGGGTTCGATGAAACTTTTCGCCACTTTCCACATATATTCTTTAACATTTCAAAATACAAATATTTCTTTTTTCGTTACGTTTTATTGACTTTGGATGAAATAATAAATGTTATTCCTTATGTCAACGGTATTGATCAGCGTGCAGTCTAGTATTTTTTTCCTTTGATCTAGAATAAAAAATCAAACGACATTTTGTTCGTAATAGTACTACGCGTCGCATGAACTAACATTCTTCATAATAATAATTATTAAAACTACGTTTATTACATAATTGAATTAGAAATCTATTGCAAGAATCATTTTATCGTATTCAGAGCCGTGTATTTTCGATAATTTTGCATTTTCTAAGGAGGATTTTAGCTCATATGACGCGTTGTACTATCATGAACAAAATATTGCTAGATTTTGTATTCTAGATCAAAGGAAAAAAATGCTAGACTGCACATAAGGAATAACGTGTATTATTTCATTCAAAGTCGATAAAACGTAACGAAAAAAAAATATTTCTATCTTGAAATGACAAAGAATATATGTGGAAAGCGACGAAAAGTTTCATCAAACCCTTATGCTGTAAAAAAATTATCAAATATCACTTCCCGTTTTACCATTTTACGTGAATCTTCCCCCTCAATTACCGGTCGGTAAAGTGTTAATTTGAACCAAGTGCATAATTATAGTGAGACGAAGAAAGAGAGGTCCAAGGCTAGCAGAGGAACATTTTAATTTCTAGCCTTCCTTGCCACCGAATTCTAAACACTCCCATTACATTACGTTTCTTTGATTTTGTCGCTATCCTCGTTCCTACCACTACAATTGCGCCCTTACCGCGCAAGGGAAGCAAAGGGGTGCGGGAGTGGCGAGCAACGAGCGTCGAGTTCAACGCGACACAACCGTGACGTAAGAAAGCATGTACTTACACACTACCGTAAGATTTTTCGAGACACAGTCCGTGGTGAAAGTCGGCGAGTCCGCCGTAACTTCGCAACTGAATGTACCCGAGAGGCCAAAGTCGACGTCGCGCAGCGTCACCTGACTATTGTTCGAGTTGGCAATCTGAAACAGAGGATGACGAGGGGCGTTGTAGAGTGAATGCAAATGGATATCAGCCAGGGAGGACACGCGTTATCGCCCACGACCCCGGGTAGACGCCTCGAGTACTGACTCGTCGATTAACGATAACTCGATTTACCTGGCGCGGTTATAATTCGAATTAAATTCCGCACGGTTGCGGCCGACCGGCGAATATATCCATCTCGCCGCTGTTTGCGCGGAATTAAGCGCCCACGCACGGTTCATTGCTTTCTTTTTTCTTTTCCCGTTGAAAATCGTCGGCCAGAAGGATCGTGGACGAGCGTAATTGCAGGGAGTTTGCTGATACCGCGTTACGGGGTACGCGTTGGTGCGTTTCATGATGTTGTAAAGCAGTTCTGTCTATAAATTCGAGGGAAAAGGATAGGACAAGTATGTTTACTAGCATGCATTCTTTCTATTTAATTTGTAAATAGAATGTTATAGGAATCGTGGTACAACTGAGAAGGTAACGAATTTAAAGGGGCAGCCTCATGTGTACGTTGCAAAATTTAACCATTTTTATTCATTTTTTTTTTTAACTAAATGTTGCATCTAACGCTTAACTATCCTTTGGGAATACAAAATAAATTTTTCTATGATTTTCATTGACTTTTCATGTTTTTATTACGCCCACGGTAAACACTGGTGTTTAAACACTGGCGTAGGTGATTGGAGCTTTTAAGGTTGACTAAATAAAAAATATCAAACAGATTTTTATTTGGTAGATTTCCTGTTATCGCCCGCAGCAAAATTGATTTATGTTGAATATTGGCAAAATGGCGAAAGTTTAAATTAAAAATTGCAAAATTTTGTCATTATTTTCCGCAACTTTTTAATAAAAGTATATGATATACTTATTATAAATGAGATTATACAGTATTATGAGATTGACACAATACTTGACATTTATCTCTCAAAATTTAACAGTACATTCTTAAATACATATACTTTCAAAAAATTAAATAAAACAGTAAATTTTTAAATGAGTAGAAAATGTGAAATTAAATTTCTATAGATTGGACCTCGCGTTTGTGATCAACTTGTAAAATTAAGGGGACAATATCTAATAAATATTTTTTATTTTACAAAGCATAAGTATAACTATGCATATGAAACGAGAACCTGCTTTGTATAAACTGAAACTGAATATCCGCTTAAACTAAAAATCGATGGGTATATACTACAATGAAAATATACAAAAAATCGGAAGGATTGACTTCAAATGGCTCGAGTATGTTTTGTTGCAGCGCATCGAAAATCTGAATATCAAAATGTGCATGTCAATTTAAGAAATCTCCCATATCGTCGCTGAACATGCAGGTCGTGCCATATTACATATCTGCCATGCACAAACCTCAAACAGTTCAAACATTTTGAACAATTTTTTTTCTACAGTACATTGACAGACAGATCCATGTATTTCGAAAGCCCCTTCCACACAAAACCATCATTCTGCAATATATAAAATCAAAAATGTTTGATTCAACTGTGTTTCGATCGTGGAAAAAGTTTGTATTATTTATTATGATTGTACAGCATCTTTCATCAAAGTGACAATTTATATTATCATTTTAATCCGATCACAGAGTCTCTTTGTTCAATGTGTCGCTGAATATCAACATAATGAACATATATCCATCGATTATTAATACGCAAATTATTATTAACGATTGTGCTCCGAAATGATAGTCGTTATTGAATAATCGGAACCCGTCGCACAATAGCGTATTATTTAAAGTGAATCATAAACTGAATGAGAATCGAATTTACGCGTTGCAATTTGCTCATCGAATTGTCTATTTTCATAACGCCACTTTAAATTTCGCGAAATTATTTCGTCGTTCTTGTCTTAACATTTCTACGGTTTACGTAACCATGGGTAGAATGTGCCAACCCCTCTGGGTATCTTCCATATCCCGACCTTTCCCTGTGTCATCTAAATTCTACGTTACCTGAAATCTGCATCAACCTAACTGTACACCGAATCTTTATTCATGCTTCAAAATACAATATCCCTAAATCTTGCTTTGTCATCTTCCTCTCGTGTCCACTCTAAAAATTCATGAAAGATCACTCTTGCAGAATATGCATTTACACTCCCAAACATTATCGATTCGTTTCCACGCAATCATAACGTGTTTGAAATCGTGAAAATCCCTAAACCTTGCTTCGTCATCTTCCTCTCGTGTCCACTCTAAAAATTCATGAAAGAATATGCATTTACACTATCAAACATTATCGATTTGTTTCTACGCGATTATATCGTGTTCGAAATCGTAAAAATCCCAGAAAACGTGCAAGAACACCGACCCTTGACGTTACCATACATCCAAACATTTATCTGCGTGTTTTTTACGCGCACGCAGATTTCCTGGCGGTTCAACTTATCATTGAAACAACGCGCGCCGATCTCGTAACTTTCACTTCTCTTATCGCGACACGCGAAGCCACAAATTGCAAAATACTACAAATCTTTTAAATTTATTTTTTTTTGCAAAGAATCTATACGAAGATCTCTGTTCCTCGATTTAATTTAAAAACGTGACGGTCCGTGTACAACATTTTGCCAGGGTACGTCTAATTGTAGCGAACTGTCGCGTGTATATCCGTGGCTAGATAAAAACCGACGCCGTTTTAGTTTCTCTCGTTAAATATCCGGGTCGCAGCTGCGCGCGTCGAGAAAGAATGATCGCGTATGTTTTTCTCCGGCGCTGCTGCACCGCGGGCAAAATGTTAATATCGACGCAGGCCACCGCGCGACAAAGGACGCTTTTTTGCTAAATGTTTCTTTCTGTCGGCCATCGTCGAGGACACCACTCGAGAAAATCGTCATCTTATCAGGAATTACCCGGCACTCGAGTAAATTGGCTCGACGAAGCGAGCGCGAAAGCACGGTCGCAACCGGGGCCAAGATAGCGTCGTAGTTCAAGCATTCCCCGAGGCGGGGGTAGGGGATCGCTTCATTGGAACAGGTAAAAGCAAAATATGCATAATTAGCGGGATTTAAATAACGAAGCAAGAAGATACGGCGGCAACGCCGAGGGGTGGGGACGACAACGGGGAGGAAGAGACGGAAGACTGCCTTCAGCGGCTTCGAAACCAACGCCAGAACTAGCGAGACTTTTTTTCTCTCGTTGATTTATGCGATGCAGAATGCACACGATGCAACGCGAGGATACAGCGCACGGAGCACGGAAGAACCGTTTAACAAAGAATTTTCAGCCGATTCTTCGTTGATTTTAAAGAGGGAAATACGTTCACATCTTTCAAAAAATCGAATTTTCGGGTTTGGTTAAAAAAGTTAGCTTTGATAATATAGTGCAGACGGGTTTAAAACGATACTCGAAGTTTTATGAAAGTTATAGTCAGCATGTCAAAAAGAGAATGGGTTCCAGACTTCGAAATATTAACCCCTTAACGCTCATATTTTTCGGATTGACCAAGAATGATCAGTTTTCTTTATTGGACTTGTTTCCAAGCTACATAAAAATTCGATTTTTGTTAATTACAATGTTGTATCTAGCGTATAACTTGATGGAAAACAAATATTGTCAAATCTTAAACCATCAAATTAAACAAATATCGTTTTTCAAAACAGTCAGACTCGGACATGAGCGTTAAGGGGTTAAAAAAGAAAAAGACTTGGTGGGAGAGGTAAAGGCAAATTAACGAATGCCCCTATTAACAAACTAACTACGTGTTACGGCTTAGCAATTTGGAGGAATATTAGTAGCATCGAAAGAATGTAAAATGATATTATGGCAACGTTTTATCATGTATTTTCAACAAACGAAAATCCAAATCATGAAAATTGTCCATCTGGAGCCGATTGCTGGTGCAAGTAGCAAAAGGCTGTTGCTCAAGGAGAAGATCTTAAACTTTTAGACCTTCCTGCACTACTTCACCAAGATTTAAAAGAACATCTTTCCATTTATGAAGATTTATCAAGGGAAGATTTGCTTCAAAGATGCTTGCGTGGCCATACACAGAATGCAAACGAAAGTTTTAACTCGCTCATTTGAGAAGAACCTGCATTTTGGATTAAAAATAATTTAAATAGCTTCCTATATAGCTGCTGGAGTATTTAATGAAGGCTACAGCTCCATTTTGAGAACGATGCACGAGTTGAATATCATTATTCGTACATAGTGCAAGCTATTTGCAGGAAATAGCTTATCCGAGACGAAAGAAGTTCGAAAAGAGGAATTACCTCAAAATAATCAGTTTCTTGAGGAAGCTGAAGAACCATTGGGATCGCAAATTAATCGGCAAGTCACTAAAATCAATAAATTTCCTGCGCAGAAAAGTGCGGTTTTCTCAAAACTGAATTTTTCAAATTTGCATAACGGATAACTCAAAAACTAATTGACCGATCTGGCTGAAATTCTGTACAAATTTACATAATAATATTGTTTTCCAGATATACCTAAAAGATTGAAACTGTCGCTTTTACAAAGAACTTTCCTTCACAAAAGTAGCAAAAATTGAAGTTTCTTTTAAAAAGGATGTGAAATTTACAATTTTATAATTTTTTATGTTTTCATTGGTATATCAATAGCGTAATTATATCATTTCAGATCCGTAGAAAAAATTAAGGAAATTACGCAAAATAATAAGTCGCGCGAGAGTACGCCTATAAAAAACAGCACAATAAAGTCGTCATTTCGTTTCATTAAAAAAAAAATTTTGTTTAATACCTTGAAACAATAATAAAATGTTGCGAGAGTTTCAGAAATAATAGATTGTTTTATGACATTAAAAAAAATTCCTGAAAAATGCCTCATTTTCGAGCGTCGAAATGTATATTCCCCTAAGCTAGTCTGCAACTGTTTGAAGTTTAATATTTTGCAAAATTAAGAAATTGTTGCAAGTTAAAAAGCAGCTGGAACGGTAAATTTGTTGAATCTTTGGATCATAGAAGGCTTCAGTGAAATTAGGATCAATAGAGGCGGAGGTAGAACATTCCCGAGTTTGATTTAAAACGTATAAATATAAATTGGTAGGAAGCGTATTTTTGTTCGCCGAGACTAAATTACGACTGTCAAATCCGCGCAGAAAACTCAGAATAACGTCCCTCGTTAAAGTAGCTTCAGCTTAAACTGCTTTGAGTTCTTTATAATGCGGCGGATGTCTGCAATGTCTTGTATTCACAAAGGAACCGTACAAAGGAAAAACATTCTTCCATTAGCTCTCTATTGAATAATATGCCCGATCGAGAACAGAAGAAAAAATAATCCCTGTAAAGTTTACTGAGGAAAATGTACAGGATTTGCAGACGTTTTCTTCGATTTGTTTAAGTTTATGTATGATCAAGAATTTCTTTTTCGAAATATGAAATACAATTTAAACAGTAGAACAAATTCTCATTCAATTGTAACTTTAACATTCCATCTAAATCGAAGTCAAAGCTTTAATTATTTACATTATCATTAGATTGTTGAAATAGTCGAACGTTTTGCAAATAGATCATTAGATTTTTAGAATACGAGTTATCGATTTAATGTGATGTTCTGTAATATTACACGAAAATTTTACTTATAAAATTGAAAATTACAAATATTACTGTATGCATGGAAGAAGAGGAATTTCGTTTTCATGAAATGCAATTGATGTTCGTCTTAATTGCATGAAAGTTCAATAGAACGTTCTACTTTTCGTGTGTATCCGATTACCGATCAGAACAAAATGAAAACGTCGATTATTGTAGGAAATTGAGGCTGAATATTCCTGCAATTAACGAGATAACTGTTCCAACGAGTAATAGCCCTGTACCTAGAATCTACATAGATGTATCCTAGTAATTATGATACATCCAGAAATGGGTGATTCTACGCGACAAGTCGTAAATGTAGAATGTAATTTTACCATACTACACTTTATATTTAAGAAAATCAGCGACAGAAGAGTAGTAGAACAGTAGTAGTACAGCGCAAGTAGAAATACCAAATAATAGTCAGACGTGGCAGATAAACTCTGTTCGGTTCGACAAATTTTCAACTTCGCTTTCATCTCATCCTTTCAGGTAAATCACCCTCTCGTACCATATAAATAAACGCCTAACTTTTAACGTTAAACCAACGAAAACCAATTTGATAGTACAGACAGAGCTCTCCAGATAGCTTTACACTGCTTCTACATGGGATTTCGACGTAAAAAAAATACCATCAGGCAGCTTTTAACGATTCTGATCCTCCGTGCGATGACTTGTTCCAAAACCCAGTAGAGCGCAAGTAGAAATACCAAATAATAGTCAGACGTGGCAGATAATCTCCTGTTCGGTTCGACAAATTTTCAACCTCGCTTTCGTCTTATTCTTTCAAGTAAATCACCCTCTCGTACTATGTAAATATATGTCTAACTTTTAACGTTAAACCAACGAAAACCAATTTGATAGTGCAGACAGAGCTCTTCATATAGCTTTACACCGCTTCTACATGGGATTTCGACGTAAAAAAAATACCTTCAGCCAGCTTTTAACGATTCTGATCCACCGTGCGATGACTTGTCGTTCGAAAAACAAGCTGGACTCGAACACAGAACAAAGTCCAGCGGCAATGGCGTAAACAATGCTTTTCGTTCACAGTTTTTACGCTTTGCCAGAGTGACCATTGCGTGCCTCTGTCGCCGGTTAGGAAGCAACAGAGGACGGTCGCGTGTGCAACGAAACGATAAACGTAAAAGCCGTGTGTATGGTGTTCCCAGATCATTCATTCGACCTCGGGAACAACAGACCGACCGAACTTGTTTTTACTTGCGTAAACGCGCGCTGTCGGAGGCGGTTGCATCGATCTCCGGCGAACCACCATGCTACGGAACTGCGTGCAACCGTGCCGCGTAACTGCATACGGAAATGTTCGAACGATGATAAAAGCGTACTGTTTTACGGTGATTACAGCGGTGAAGGGCACTGTTAACGAACAACGACCAGACCAGGCGCGATAAAAGTACGTATCTGGTCCAAGAGAGGAACAGGAGGAGGACATGACATCCACTACTGCTTCCTGTTCTGATTGTCTTCCCCTGTTTTAACACATCCAAACCCGGTCGTGTTGCTCTACAAGGTACACGAGATACACTCCCAGTTTTACATCAGTCCATATAATCCTCTCGCGGATATATTACTTCCAAACAGTACCGGGTAATTCCAGCTGACTAAGCTGATAAACTTTTATGCATCACGAGACATTTGAGGGAGGATGATATTTATAAAATACATCTTTTCCCCCCCCTTTATTCCGGTCAATTTATACTTTGTTATTATATTGCTGTTTAGAAGTGCATAATTAATTCGGAACAGTGAGAAATGCGTTAAAGACCATTTTCCAATTTTTAGGAATTATTCTATCTGTGTTCTCTATTTTATAATTTCTTGCTGTAATATTATTTCTTTATATAAACCATCAACATTTTCTTCCGCGAATTTATTAAGTCGGTGATAAATTCCTTGGAAATAGCTTCCTTTTAAATCCTTGTATCGTGGCCAGTGCAAATAATAAAAGAATTCGTTACTGTGTATCATTCCCTATTGAGTGTGTTATTTGGTACCTAATCTTTTGGTTCATCCTCTGAAGCCAAAGTAACATTTTTATTCTGTTTTGGAATATGTATATAATATAATATGTTCTTTAATTTTTATGTAGAAGTATTAATAATAGAGCGTAACGTGGACTTACATCATTATGGTTCGAAATGCTTTGCTAACTTTGTTTACTGATTAAACGTAAGTTTCGCGATTTCTCGTGTGAATTTACAAGTAAATCGATTTTGATGATAAATAGAAGACAGCTTGAAGATTTCAAGTCCAGTGTTAACTCAAATTTGAAGAATTTAAATTTACATCACTATGGCTCTCAACGATTATCTCCGATTAAAAATAAATTAAATTGACACGTCAGAGTCTATCGCGTTCAAGAGCTAGTTCAGGAACGAATGTCGTTCGCGAGTAAAGTTTGCCCAACTCCGTAACGTCGAGAATTGCTGGAGAAAGGAACGATGAGACTTACGTCAACGTAGATCCCGGAAATGTTGAAGATCTTGATGTTCGGCTGGTCCTGGGGTGTAAAACGGTAGAACTCGTGCTTGCCACGGTACCACTTGACAGAGTAAAGAACAGCACCCTGGAGATCGTAATGGCAGCGTAGCATCGCCTTCTGACCACGTTGCACTGCCTCCGGAACTATTTCCAGGCTGACATCCCGCAGGCAGCTCGCACCTTTGTGGGAAATGAGAACAGGAACGGAGCATTAAGTCTAGTGTGCATCATTAGTCCGCTTTTGCTCCTCGCGCCGGAGGTTGCACAGCACGCGTCAGCGAGAAATTGCAATTCCACCGAATGACAATTCCTCTCGCTTCCGCCACCTAACCCACTCTATTCTCCTTCTTCCGTAACCGTACACGTGCACACAAACGCAACGCCACCACAAACATACAATTTTTCTTCCCGCCTCCCGCCGCCATCTATCTTTCCTTTCGCCCTAACCTCGATCAACGCGCTCCACCCTCCCATCATCCTCGTCCGCCGACTTCCACGACCCAACGTACGGCCACCCCTCCTTCTTTCTCTTTTTTTGTGCCTTTTTGCTGACGTTCCGTTCACTCGGATTATCGACGATTCGAACTATTAAAGCCCGGAGGAATTGAACTGTATACGCCATTCATATTAAAACAGAGTCGAGCTTTGCTGGTTGCTCCTTGATGTCGCTGCAGGATGAGACCTCTTATTACATGGTAGCTTCCGGCAACACGGAAGTAGGTGGATGTCACCGAGCCGCGAATGGGGACGAAACTCCGTGGGGTGATTTCCTCCCCCGAGAAACGCGAAAAACACCGGTGTGATGTTTCAGCAGACGTATTATTTCTCCGCGAACTCGCGGCCTGTAGCTTTTCAGACGGAAAAGGGGATGTCGCGACGTCGACGACGATTGGAAATTGCGGATGAAGTCTACCAGCCATACCGTTTCTCCTAAATAGAACTTAAAACATACAGGGGACTATCGACTTTAATTATTTTTTTGCGCTTGGTGGTACAGAAACTGGGATTAACCCCTTGACGTACGATTTAATTTCAAATATCTTTTCAAACATATACTATTTAATTTTGTTTAAATGTATTCGTGCTAGGAATGGCCACGAAAAAGAATAGATTTGTCTTACGAATACCTCGTTAATGTAAAAATCTGTTGATTTTAATATACAGGGTGTTCAGCCACCCCTGGGGGAAATTTGAATAGGAGATTCTAGAGGCCAAAATAAAGAATATCAATTTCTTGACTGAAGGAGGCTTCATTAAAAAGTTATTAAAAAATTAAATTAAAAACTTTCAAATCATTCTGAAAAAACTATTGTTGGTTGCGGGGCTCAATTTCAATCATTTTTGGCGAATACACATACCCCGGAAATCCTACCCACTTTCGAGAAAAAATTCGAGTAGGTACTGAAATTTTTAGACGAAATTAAAAAATTTCAAATCGTTCTAAAAAAATTATATTTGGTTGCAAGGGTTGATTACAATCATTTTTGGTCATTACACATACCCACGAAATCCTCCGCATTTTCGAGAAAAAAATTCCTTGCTGAAAATCTAATGTGAGGCCAAGAAATGCTTCCCTTAAAATTCATGCGAATCTTAAAAACTTCTAAATGGATTGAAGGATTTTAATGTTTAAAGAGGCAAATAACGCGTATTTTAGTGAAGAATATGTGGGGATTCGAAAAATATTAAAAAAGTTGTTCCTTGTCCCCGTAACGTGAGAAACCCCCCATAAAAATGGTGCAATTTTCAAAAAACCATAACTCCTACAATAGTGAATATATTTAAATGAAACTTTTTTCTGAAACAGATCCCATGGGTATCTACAAAAAAGTGTTATACAATTTTTCTGTAGAGCGCCAAACAAATTTATTAAAAATGAAAAACCAATTTTTATGAAAAATCAACAGGGAGTAGGTAGATCCCTAAATTTTTCAGCGAAAAAAAATTTCAAATGGTTCTGAAAAAATTATTTTCGGTTGCGGGGGCCAATTACAATCATTTGTGGTCAATAGACATACCCTTGAAATCCTACGCACTTTCGAGAAAAAAATTCCTAACTGAAAATATAATGTCTGACCATACATGACATGTTTCACTGAAATTTCATGCGTATGTTTAAAAAATCATAACTTCTGAACGGATTGAAGGATTTTAATTATTCAAAATTCCACCAATGCGTATTAATGGAGTTCCAGAGCCCCAGAAAAATGTTTTACTATTTTTACACAACGTTAATAACTTTTTAACGAAGCCTCAATCAACAAATTAGTATTCTTGATTTTCCCAGAGGTGACCGATGACGAGTAAGTAGCCTCATGATTGTAAAACTTGACATTAAGAAATTGAAACGAGCCAGACTCGTCATTGTACGGCAAGGGGTTAATCGTTCTTCACAATTTTGGTGCAACAGTTTATTTAGCGAGAAATTTCAAATTTTTGTCAGTCCTTTTACAAAATCAAGAGGTATTTTCAAAGTTACGAAAATATAAAAAGCAGGAATATTTCAGTTTTTAATTTTGAACGTGTGGCTGTAGTACAGCTGGTTATGCGAGGGATTAAAAGCCAATATAAATGCCACAGGGGTAATTAACGCGAATTAAAAAAGTTGTGTATAGGAAAGAACGAAAGTTGTGAAAATTAATTTTCGATTTTAATTGTACGAAGGAGAGAGAGAGAGTTGTAACGCGGAAACAGAAATATAGTAGAATGAAAAAAATTTTAGAGAATGATCACGCAAACTTTCAATGGAAGGGTTGAGAAAAATTGAAGTATCCGAAAAAATTTGCAATAAAAAATTCTGTATTATACTCCTCATTTGCTAGACGACTGAAATAGAACACGGATTTTTCACGATGAATACTTTAATTATGTCAGTATTAAAAGCAGGAAGTCGTATCTTTTCCTTTGTGAGAAAATCATTATAATCACTGTTTTCTAATTTTCTTCAGCTGCTTTAATATGCAATTATACCAACGCAAATTACATATTTCTTTTCTTCTTTTACTAAAAACCGTCTAGCGATGAATTTTCAAAATGTTTCTTGAAACTAACAATTTTCAGATTTGAAAGCACCCGTCGTTAAAAGGAAGTGTAAAGGCTCTGTAGCGTAAAGTCGAAATAGCTTCCAGAGCTGCTGCATTAATTTGCATTTGCATTCGACGCGGTAAATAGTAAATCCAATACCAGGAACGTATCGCAAACTTAAACTCGACATCTTGTACTTTCATCGGTTTTCGCGCGAGAGTGACTAGCGACGTTTGCCACGGCGAGAGGAAAAAAATAAAAGAAAATTCATCGCTTACAAAGGCCAAGATCTGCGAAGTTGGAAGAGCTTTCTCCCCCTCCTTTCATTTCGAATTGAAAGGAATTCTGGAAAACGTAAGCAGGTACATGGCGTATGCTAGAAGTTTCAGGGGACTGCATTTGGGGATTGCAATGTTCTCAATCTCCGTTCCCTTTCAACTAGTTTCTCGCTGCATTATTCGATCTACGTACATTTAACGCAAGCGACCCGTTTCACTTTTAACCGTGACTCAAAGCACTGGCCCAATGGCGTCTCATGGTTAATTACTTCGAAAAATGCCATCTGAATTCCTAACATTGCATACGTTTAAAAACGATATGCGATCTAAGACAAAGATCAAGCTTGTCAGTTTCCTGAATTCGAAAGAATAAAAATTCTGTTTGATTTATTTCTATACGAATGAAAGTCGAGGAGCAGGTACACATTTCTCCCTGTATTATTCGATCTACGTACATTTAACGCAAGCGACCCGTTTCACTTTTAACCGTGACTCAAAGCACTGGCCCAATGGCGTCTCATGGTTAATTATTCGAAAAATGCCATCTGAATTCCTAACATTGCATACTTTTAAAAACGATATGCGATCTAAGACAAAGATCAAGCTTGTCAGTTTCCTGAATTCGTAAGTGATGGTCGGTAACCGACATTACCGATTGACGAACGATTGGCGTCGCTGCGTACGCGAGCACCGCGATGCCGATCTGCGCTGAATATTAGGCAGTCGTTAACGAGCTCACAAAGTAACCACATGTAATTTTTATCTTTTAAATATACTATTATATCTCATACAGTGCGTTATATTTTACAACAGAAAGAATAAAAATTCAGTTTGATTTATTTTTATACGAATGAAAGTCGAGGAACAGGTACACATTTCTCGCTGCATTATTCGATCTACGTACATTTAACGCAAGCGACCCGTTTCACTTTTAAGCGTGACTCAAAGCACTGGCCCAATGGCCTCTCATAGTAAATTACTTTGAAAAACGCCATCTGAATTCCTAACATTGCATACTTTCAAAACACGATATGCGATCTAAGACAAAGATCAAGCTTGTTAGTTTCCTGAATTCGAAAGAATAAAAATTCTGTTTGATTTATTTTTATACGAACGAAAGGCGAGGAACAGGTACACATTTCTCGCTGCATTATTCGATCTACTTACATTGAACGCAAGCGACCCGTTTCACTTTCAAACGTGACTCAAAGCACTGGCCCAATGGCGTCTCATGGTTAATTACTTCGAAAAATGCCATCTGAATTCCTAACATTGCATACTTTTAAAAACGATATGCGATCTAAGACAAAGATCAAGCTTGTCAGTTTCCTGAATTCGAAAGAATAAAAATTCTGTTTGATTTATTTCTATACGAATGAAAGTCGAGGAACAGGTACACATTTCTCTCTGCATTATTCGATCTACGTACATTTAACGCAAGCGACCCGTTTCACTTTTAACCGTGACTCAAAGCACTGGCCCTATGGCGTCTCATGGTTAATTATTCGAAAAATGCCATCTGAATTCCTAACATTGCATACTTTTAAAAACGATATGCGATCTAAGACAAAGATCAAGCTTGTCAGTTTCCTGAATTCGTAAGTGATGGTCGGTAACCGACATTACCGATTGACGAACGATTGGCGTCGCTGCGTACGCGAGCACCGCGATGCCGATCTGCGCTGAATATTAGGCAGTCGTTAACGAGCTCACAAAGTAACCACATGTAATTTTTATCTTTTAAATATACTATTATATCTCATACAGTGCGTTATATTTTACAACAGAAAGAATAAAAATTCAGTTTGATTTATTTTTATACGAATGAAAGTCGAGGAACAGGTACACATTTCTCGCTGCATTATTCGATCTACGTAC